CCGAGTACCTATTGTGGATCCTTCTCAAGATCCTACTTCGCCTTACTTCTTGCATCCTTATGATAATCCTGATATTAAGATAATTTCTGATAAGTAGTTTGATGGAAATGGTTATGGTGATTGGAAGAGATCAATGCTAATTAGTTTATCAGCTAAGAATAAACTAGGATTTGCGGATGGATCAATTGAGAAACCTGCTCCTACTTCAAATTTGTTGAGAGCTTGGGAGAGGTGTAATAGTATGATAATCTCCTGAAATTTAGGCGTTTTGGATCAGAATTTAGCTAGAATGGTCTTATACTTTAACATTGCAAGAGAAATCTGGCAGAATCTTGAAGAGAGATATAGAGCTTAATCTGGTACTGTTCTATTTGCTCTTGAACAGTCAATCACTAAGATAAAACAAGGCACATATGACATTTCAACTTTTTACACAAAGCTCAAGAAGTTATGGGATTAGTTGGATGATGTTGATCCTTTACCATACTGTCATTGTGCTAATTGCACTTGTAATGTTGCTCAACGTTTACTCAAGTCTCAGCAGGACAAAATACTAGTGCAATTATCTCATGAAGTTGAATGATGGATTTGAAGTTGTTAGGGGTAGCATATTGTTGATGAAACCTCTTCCAGTCATCTCTCATGCATATAGATTGCTTATGCAAGTGGAGAAGCATAGGCAGCTGTGTAAGGAGAACAAAGAGAATGCTATATCTATTACTGATGAAGCAAATAACACTTGCTGTGAACAAAGGAAGGTATCAGGCCAAATGAAACAACATACCTTACATGCAGTCTCAAGGTTATCAAAATCAAGGCAGCAAACATGCTCAGAGTTCTTTTCAGCACCAAAGACAAGCTTTTCGTTCAGGAAACAATGACAACAAGAGAGCAGGCAACTATTATTGTGATCATTGTAAAATGCTTGGTCACAGCATGCAGAGATGCTACAAACTCCATGGTTTCCCACCTCATTTCAAGTTTGACAAGAATAAGATGGTTGCAGCTATGGTGTAAAATGATGAGTAAGGAATTTCTGCTGATGAGCAAGGACATTTGATGATTCCACCAGGACAAGCTCAACAATACTTGGAGTTTCTTGCTCAATAGAAGATGAACTCAAAGAATAGTGGTGGTTCAAGCAACATCAAATCTGCTAATGTTGTAGGTAAAACTTGTTTACTGTTACCCAAATTGAACAATTGAATAATTCGAAGGTCTTCACCTTTGAACTCATGTATGGACACAAAAGCATCCTTATCATGACAGATATGATAAGTAGCACCACTATCAATTATCCAGATGGAAGAAAAGTGATCATTTCACACAGTGGACATTTGCAGATAGGATCTGACATTGTCTTGCAAGATGCTCTATATATGGCAGATATTAAGTTTAATCTCATATTCATTCCTAAATTATGTTTGGATATGAGTTGTACTGAATTTTTACTGATGATAAATGTAGTGTTCTTCAGAACTCTTCAATGAAGCCACATGTTCTTGGTAGATTGAGGAATGACATATACTACTTGGATGATTCTCTAGTCCAATCAAGTTCTTAGAATAAAGTTGATGCAGCAAGCACATGAACTGAGCAACATCAGAATAATACAAAGCTTTAGCATCTCATGATAGGACGCTTACCAGTTTCTCAGCTTGGGTATGTCTCTTCCTTCTCTAGTAATTTTGATAGTAAGCCTTGTTTGGGAGAATTTTTTTTTGTCAAATCTGTCATGCAGCTAAACAAACTAGGTTACCTTTTAGTTTAGCTCAATAAAAGCAACTACTCCTTTTCAGTTACTTCATTTGGACATTTAAGGCTCTTTTTGGGAGATTACTCACACAGGTTGCAGAATTTTTCTCATTGTTATGGATGATTATATGAGAATGTGTTGGGTATTTTTCATGAAAAATAAGTCTGATGTCACTTCAGTTTTCTCAAATTTTGTTGCTTATGTTGAGAATCAGTTTGATTTGAGAGCCAAGTATGTTAGAATTGATAATGCTCAGGAACTTATTGAAGGTGATATGAAACTGTTTTATCACAATAAGGGCATAGAACATCAAAGGAGTTGTCCTGATACACCCCAGCAAAATGGGGTGGTTGAAAGGAAACATAGGCATCTTCTAGAGACAGCTAGGGCTCTTTATTTCTAATCCAAGTTGCCTGTTGCTTTTTGGAATGAGTGTGTTTTGTGTGCAACACATATCATTAATAGAATGCCTTTACAAGTGATGTCAAACAAAATTTCTTATGAGTTGCTGTTTGGGAAAGTTCCTGATCTTATTACTTGATGGTTTTTGGATGTTTGTGTTATGTTTCAACACTGAAGCAAGGGAGGAGCAAGTTTGATCCAAAGGCAAAACTTCATGTTTTTTATTGGATATTCTCCTGGCCTGAAAGGTTACAAAGTCTTAAACATGGATACCCTAACAGTTCATACTTCTAGGGATGTCATGTTTAAGGAACAACATTTTCCCTTCCACATTTCTTCCTCCCATGCTTCTTCTCCTTTACCTTTCTTTCTTCCCATTGTTACTGATTTCACACCTTTTCTTGATGATAACCTTCCTGAAGTCTTTACTCCTGAATTCCCCTTTACTCCTCCTCGTATTCCTTGCTCTTCTTCCCACTCTTGTCATCTTTCTCCTTCCACTTCTAATCTATCTTCTCCTTCTTTCTTTTCTTCTACTCTTGATACTTCTGACATTTTCGATGATCCAGCTACATCAAAAACTATCTCTGATCTGAAATGATCTGATAGGCCTAGAAAACCACCATCTTGGATGGACAGTTACTACTGTAATTCAGCTCACTGGTGCAACCTGGTCAGTTTTTCTGACCTTCTTGCTCCTTATAGAGCTCTTATTGCTCAAACTGAGTCTCTTGTTGAACCTATTACTTATCAAGAAGCTACTAAGGACCCTAGATGGGTTAAGGGAATGAAAAAGGGGCTTAAGGCTCTTGAAGACAACAGGACATGGATTCTTGTGGAGTTGCCTACTGGTAAAAAGACTATTGGTTGCAAATAGGTATTCAAAATAAAACTCAAAGCTGATGGTTCTATAGAAAGATTCAAAGACATATTGGTAGCAAAGGGTTTTACTCAAAAGTTTGGTATGACTACATTGAAACCTTCAATCTTGTTGTGAAAATGGCCACAGTTAGATGCATCATTTCTCTGGCAGCTAGTAAGGGTTGGCCTTTGTTTCAATTAGATGTTAACAATGCCTTCCTGCATGGTGATTTACATGAGGAATTTTACATGAGACTTCCTGAAGGTTATGATAATGAGGATACAGGAAAGCTTTATAGGCTTCTAAAGTCCTTATATGGCCTAAAACAGGCTTCTAGGCAGTGGTTTGCCAAACTTGTTCAAAAATTGAGTTTCAAAAGCATGTTTGCAAATAAATTGAGTTTACTTATCTTGCACTTATCGTACTTAGCATATTTTGCTAATCCGTATTTCCTATTTGTTTTGGTTTGCCTTGTTTATTTTAATGGTAAGCACTGTTGACTATTTTTAGTTGGGGTCAATAATTGAGCATATGGGAGTCTCGGGATGTTCTTCACCTAGAATTAGGAATGTTGGTCTTTGTTTTTATTATGAGTAATCATGACAATGGTTTCTATTTATTGTTATTATTAATAAAGAAAGAGTTTGATTTTTCGCTGCAAAGTATTGGTTTTGGTTAGTAGTTTGAGTAGCCTTGCATAATCACGCGGCGATAATACGCCTAAATCTATCTCTATGATGTAATTATACGTATTATACTGGTATTTCTTTAGAGGGAGATTTGGGGGTGTTACACCGGTTGACACCAACCCAAAGCTTAGTGCTCATGCCGGGGATCCAGTGGATGACCCGTCGCTCTACAGAAGCCTAGCAGGGGCATTGCAGTATTTAACCTTTACTCGGCCAGATATTTCCTACGCGGTTTAGCAAATTTGCCTTTTCATGCATGCTCCTCGCGAGCCACACTTCAATGCTCTCAAGCGGATCATAAGGCACATCAAATGAACTGCCGACCATGGTCTACACTTGTTCCTATTTGCTCCAAAGCGTCTCATTTTCTACACCGACGCTGATTAGGGGGGCTGCCCCGATTCACGCAAGTCGACTTCGAGCTATTGTGTGTTCTTAGGGGACAATCTGATCACTTGGTCTGCGAAAGGCAAGCAACTTTGTCTCGCTCTAGTGTCAAGGCAGAGTACAGGTGGGTCGCTAATGTAGTTGCCAAATCTTGTTGGCTCAGGAATCTTCTTCTTGAGCTATTTTTCCCTCTTCAACCGGCAACCTTAGTATATTGTGATAATGTCTCAGCTGTTTACCTCTCTAGCGACCTTGTCAATCATCAACGGACGAAGCACATCGAGATGGACATAGACTTCGTACGTGAGAATATGGCCTTGGGTCACATCCGGGTTCTACACGTTCCATCTTCGTATCAGTTTGCAGACATATTTACTAAGGGGTTACCACGACAATTGTTTCTTGATTTTAGATATAGTCTTTGCGGCATCCGTCCTTCTCCCGCTATGACTGCGGGGGTGTGATAGAGAATATGTAATATTCTCTAGTATATTTTGTGAATATTCTTCTGTATAATTAGGTTAATGATATACTCTCATACTCTAGGTTGTAATCCCTATAAATATTATTAATGAGAATAACCTACACTAGGCGAAAACACGTAATCCGCACCGGTTCAAACCCCCCATTTCGCACCGGTCCTTATTTGGGGGGTGCTAAAACCCCATACATTTCGCACCGGTTCAAAACCGGTGCGAAATAAGGCTTTTCGCACCAGTTCTGGCTGAGAACCGATGCGAAAAACCACACTTTTTGCACCGGTTTTGACTTAGAACCGGTGCCAAAAGTCCCGAAAAAAATTTTAAAAAAACTTTTAGCACCGGTTCTTTTCCAAAACAGGTGCCAAAAATGCCCAAAAAAAATAAAAATAAAAAATTTGCATTTTTTTTTTCACTTAAATTGATATATAAACACTAACATATATATAAAGTTACAGAAATTTACTTTTAATACTCCAAAAACCTGTTCTAATGAAGCATATAAACAGCAAACATCGAACTAAGCAGCCCAAACTAAGCAGCTCAACAGGCTACAAAAATAACAAAACACAGCGCAACACCAAAGCAGCAGAGCAAGCACATCAACTCAGCATCACAGCACCCTAGAAACCAGCAACACAGCACTGCAAAAGAAAGCAGACAGCAACACAGCAACACCAACACAGCAGCGCATCACATCAACATAGGAAAACTCGACATCACAACACAGCAGACACAACACTGTAGCAGAAACAGCAGCTCACAGCAACACAGACAGGAAAACCAACCCTGCAGTAATCAAGATAAAAGAACTAGCATCTAATAGCTGAACAGGACAACCAGCTGAGCAGACACAGCCTCACAGATAACATCAACAAAACAGAAACAACTACACAGGAGCATTGATCTTCAGCTGATACAACCATTTGCAATGATCCCTCTTCCACGAATTATCCATGGTGCTCCTATCCTTACAATGGCATAACCTGCCTACATGAAAGGAACAAAAAATTTAGCTAACAAATCATATCCCTTATGATTAGGAAATTTGTAAACATATTCATTCTGAAACAACAAAATTAAATTGTGTACACTACTTATTCTAGTTTCTGTTTCCAAAATCAGTATTATGAAAAATTCATCCTTGTTTGCATGATTCATCAAATGAGATAGAGCTTTTAGAATAATAAGCAGTACATTCTCCTCACTTATTCAATATATACCTGACCAAGATAACTTTTCATGCAGTGGAAACATCTTAATGACCAACTTATGCAGAAATACCCTCTGGAGTAGGTTTCACAAGGCACGATATATAGAGAATCAAAATTTAGAAATTTGGGTCTGAACTTGGAAGGATTTTAGACATTTGGAATAATGTTTGAAATCAATTTGACACAAACTAATACAAAAGCCCTTGTAGTATATGCCTAAATAAGCTTTCATAGAGATCCAAAATTCACATGAAAGAAATTTCACTTGCCAAGCAGAAACAATAGAATATACTCCCGTAGATCCTAGTAGGCTTCTGATGTGCTGCTAATGGAGCATCACTCAATATATCCAAGAATCTATCAAGAAATTGATCCGTGTTAGAGAAAATATGACATGAAATATCAAGGGAAAGAGCCCTTTCGCAAATTCAAACAATTAGGCATGTAGTCATAATCAATAATTTTCTGTCTGCGTAGCATAATCATTGCACAATTTGTTAATTAATCATTGCACAATCCATTAATTTACCTCTAGAAAACAATAAAATGGTTATGAAGGTTTAATTCAGTAATTTATAACATTGTGATACCATATATTGACAATGCCACGGAAACAGTAATGAAAATTGATGTGCTGCTGTAAGTTAGTTTACAAATCAGTTGCTTATCTCTATATTTATGTGCTCTATACAAGGGCTGAAGAATCAATTCAAACTTGAAGATCACAAGCATAGTGCAAGCAAAGCAAGCATCTCATCCATCTAATGCACTATCAAGTGTATGAAAGTCTGAAGCCCATCCTAAGACATGAGTGAAAATAAAAGTTTTCCCCAAGTGATCCTCAAACGTTCACTAGTCAAGGACTTAATCAATTAATCTTAGACTGTAATAACAAACTACTCACCCTGGTCAGTAGTCGAGTGAGGCACAAGAAGCCCGTTTTTGTTTCCTGCCATGAGGTCTTTACAACGGGAATATAATCCGCCAACTCGGATTCAAATATACTGCAAACACACAACAATTCACAGTGTGACTATAAAAAATTAGCCTTATCACAAAATAACCCAAACCAAAGGAACACTAAGCCACTAATAATCTCAGTAGCTTAAGCAAGCAAACCTGTAAAAGTTCTCAGACCTGCCAATTGCGACCAAACAATATGCATTAGTCAACTTAGAGATTACACCCACTTCACAATTGTTCTCAAATTGAAGCCCTACAAAATATCCATCATAAACACATTGAAGCAAACAAAAATTGACACTCAGATCCAATGCTTGAAAAAATTGCCTAATGCATACAAATTTTAATCAGTATGAATATAGTGAAACTCAACTTGTTCATAGGCCAATTATAATGAATTAAACTAATTATTTATCAAAACAAACTCAGATTCATAGCAAAGTTATTGAATAAAAAAAGAAAAAGAAAAAAAGAAACAGTGAACCCAAAATAACGAGTCAAGTTCCAAAATCAAAGAACGCACAATACACAATCTACAGATTCTACACAGCCAAGGTTAGCAAAAACATTACTTGAAATTGGGGAAAAAATTGAGCAAAAAAACGAAGATTAAAAAAAATAAATCAAAAATACAACGTAATACCACAAATTTCAACTAAATCTATAACAAAATCAACAAAAAATACAGCATAAAAGAATATAAAGATGAATTAAGCGAAAAAGAGAAGAAACTTACTTGTAATTGGGGAAAAAATTGAGCGAAAGAGAGATTTATATTAGGGTTTTGTAAGCTTTAACAGGAAAAAAAAAAAAAAAAACCTTTGAAGCGCCGGTACCGGAGGCCGTTAAAGGTGACGGTGTCTTAGTCGGAAGCGTTGCAGGTGACGGTGCCGCCGGTCTAACTGTCTCTCTAACCGTTCACCACTTGCTTTAACTCGAACAAGATTCGAACGAAAATCGAAGACCTCACACGAGAGATGAGAGCAGAACGAGATGGGAATGAAAGAGGAAGGAGAGATGAGAGCAGAACGAAAGATGAGAGAGAATGAGAGCAGAACGAGAGATGAGAGAGAACGAGAGCAGGGCAGAACCAGAGATGAGAGAGAAGGAGAGTAGGACCAGAGAGGGAGAGATTAAAATAAAGAGGCGGATTAGAGAGATATAACAGCCCCGTTTTTTTTTTTTTTAAAAAATTTGGCACCTGTTTGAACCGGTGCAAAAACAGTCTTTAGCACTGGTTTGGATTGAACCGGTGCGAAATCCCTTCCACCCCCTTTTTTTTTTTTTTAATATTTCATAATTGGCATCGGTTTGAACCGGTGCGAAAAAGATGATTTCGCACCGGTTTATTAGGAACCGGCGCGAAAAGTTTTTTTTCCAATCCCGCCCATTTCTTTTCCCACCGGTTTTTAAGAACCGGTGCGAAAATTGCGCTGCGTAATTCATTTTTTCTACTAGTGCTAATCAAGGAGATTTATACACACTTATAGAAAATACAAGGTCTCTTTTAAGACTGTTAAGAGGTTACACTAGATACATTAGTATTATATGAGTAATTCAAATGTCCTAATGATTTGAGTCTTAAGATCTTAATTTGGTGCCAGATTTGAGTTTCCAATAGTTTCATTAATATAAACAACCCTCAAAAGTCAAACAAACTAGTAATAGTTCTTAAATGACATTTATTCTATCATATTACTACTAAAATTATTTGACGTGGATTGTGGTCCATGATAAAATGAACATCGCACAACAATCACTATCACTACTATGCTCCCAAATTATGAATTAATAATTCGAATTGAAGTACATTATCTAGAAGGCTTGTGATTACATGAATCTGTAATATGATAACCGATTCCAAGCAAAGATTATTTTAATACCCCGTTCAAGTCATTGTCAAGTCATTAAACAGTCAGAGTATTTGACACCTCTTTTCTCTTCTAGGCTTCTACCAATTACGATTTACCTTACGATTTCCACCGTTCTTATTCATCTTAAATTATTCTATGTATTAAACTCATAAAAGTGACAACTCTACGACTCTTTGTAATACAATATTCTCTCTTTTTTTTTTTTTTTTTTTTTTTTTTTTTTTTTTTTCTGTCCTATATGATTTATCAGATCAAATACGACAAGTAAAATTACACAATCTATACAAGAATTGCAAAATTGTAAATTACAATATTTCTTTTCATTGTCTATTAATTTTGTTTAAGGAGAACCTTTCAATGTCATCATGCATTGACTTAAAAAAATTGTCTTTTAAAGGAGATCCTTTCATATGTTTCATTGTCGTTGACACCAAAACAGGCTTACCTTGATGCAACGGATCACACAGGGAGTTATAACACCAAACTATTTATGCAGAGTAATAAAATGACGAAGAATAGTGAACTTAGCACACTTGACTAGAAAGTCCAAAAACTAATCAATATAGCTTAAATCAGTGATCCGTACACTGTTATTCCAAGGTTACCCATAAACAAAGATAATCACAAACATGTACTCTCCAATATCATTAATCTGATCAACAAGCTAAAGTGGAGTATTGATTAATTATCGCCTTATTGGAGGAAAAGCTAGAGAACATTAATAAGCTTACAGACTAATTAGCACAAAGAAAAGGTTAATGACAAATGAAGGAAGGGGTCAAACTGGTGGGCCTAAATATGAAAAAGATATTTAAATGCATGTTCCTCTTTATGCATGATCATGTTGTAGATACTATACGAGGGTGCATCTCCTATCACAGGAGAGGTGGGGGTGAGGATCGAACCCTGGTTACATCGAGGAAAGATAGAGCGATTAATCATCCCTCCACTCGATATTACTCATGTTAGTTAGCAAATTCAGTTGATTCTCGTAGGAATAATATATATTCAAGCTAGTGATGTCATTGTTGATTTGCCGACGTTTATGTACAAATATTAAAAATAAATAAATAAATAAATAAAAATAAAACAAAAGAAAAGAAAAAGCTCCATTTAAACGATTAGCTACTTCCTTCTAAAGCTGAATAAATAAGCTGAATAAATAAAGAAAAAGCTTCATTTTTAACACGTTTGGGTATGACATTTGGGACTAAAACCCGACCTGGCCCGATATCTAATGTAGTGTAGTTATATACTTCATAACTACGAGTAACAGTTTGACATCTAAAATATTAGCAAGATATTTCAATATTAAACTAATGGCATGGCAATAAAATTCAAACAATTGTACTCGGTAAAATACTCAATATAAATATAGTGATGATTTGAATATACGAATATCAAACAAAGGGGGGATAATTTTTAATTTTTTTCTCAATGGTGGGAATTATAATAAATCAAGGACATTTGAAATTAATGTTTGAGGTTTTCAAAGTCCCAACACGTTTAACCTTGTAAATGAACTTGTATATCCATAACCTTTTTAAAACAATATGACATGACACGACACAACATAACATGTTTCCTACTTCTATTTAAAATATCGTCAAGGAAAAGAGAACGTCACCAAATCTAGGCTAATTATCAACAAGAGGTCAATGACACAATTGCTATGAAGGGGTCATGCTGGTGGGCCTAAATATGAAAAAGGTATTATATGAATTTCCTCTTTAAGCACGATCATCAGGTCATGCATTCATGTTGTGGAGTAGCTAGGAAAGTACTCCAACGAACAGTGCATTTCATAAAATTCCATGGTAAGGGACACACAAGGAGTCAAGGATATCTAGTGGATGACAAAGTGACAATTGATGATTTGATGGTTTTAAAACTTGAAAGATGAAAAAACAAAATCTAAAGTTTAACTTGATCATTATCATTTTTTTTTTTTTTTTTTTTTGAAACAGTCTATTCTTGTCCGATTTCTTTGAAAAGATGTACAATTATAACATTAGCTTCTAGAGTCCTAGTCGGAGAATGCCAAATACTCGTATTGCAAATAAATTAGCTTAGCAAATGGATTTGTATTTCATATTCATGAAATTATAAAAGTAAAATTCACCAAAGAGCACTTTGGGGTGCATATTTTATTGCCCTCCTTATCCTTTCAATTTTGAAGAAGCTTTGTTTAAACTAGGTTGACTTTTGAAACTTGTAATTAACTTGTAATATATTCCAATACACATTATTTTGCATAACAAGTAAGTCGTAAATTGTTCTTGAACCACTTTTTTTTTTTTTTTTTAAATAAAAAAAAAATTGAAAAAGTGTATCAAATTAAAACATGACCCAAAAATAAATGTAACAATAATTAGCGTAATAATTAAATGGACTCGAGCCATAAGGCGAGCCAAGTCACCCTTCAAGGATATACCGTGGCACTACACATTGGCTAGACGGCTACACTAACTAGCACTCCAAAAACATAAAATGTACCCCATTCATTTACTTTGTGACACGGTGACTTGATAATTCTACTTTGTGAAATAAAGAGCAGACTTAATCCTTGATTAGAAACAAGTGGAAAACGTTATCTTTGATTCTTTGACACTTGAAAATTTTAGGCTTTTTCATTTCAAGAATCCCTTATGTGAAGTACTACATATTTCTCGTATATATTATGCACTTTTTATTAATTTGAAGTGTCCCTACTCATGATTCCTCAAAAAAAAAAAAGGGGGGGGGGGGGGGGGGGGGGGGGGGTGGGGGGGTGGGTTGAGGGGTGTCCCTACTCATGAGATGCAAAATACATTTTGTCTTCCTTTTTCTACTAATGTATTCATTCATATGTGTCATACATATTCATAATAATACGATTATGTTATACTATCAAACTTTACTCCATTTATGAACATTAATATATAAAGTTACTCAACACTCCCTTTCACATCAAATTTCACATCAAATTTATTTTATTGTAAATATGTTAATATATAGGTAACTATTTAATTTAAATCTCTCAATAATTATGACTATTGCTATATAATTATAAAAGTTCTAAAACAAACAAATCCCAAAATTTAATAGGATGATATAAGGAGTTGAATTTTACATATACCATCCAATGACATAATTTTACACCATAGCATGTTGCTAATGTGTATATATACGAAATTTCCACAAAATTTCATTGGTGAGATTTTCAAATATATATTTTTGGTATAAATAGCACCATTTCATTTTCTCACCCTCTAACCTCCCTCATTATTTCTCCCCTCTCCTCTGCTTCAATTCCTAAAGTTCTAACTTCTAACCCTCCAAAAAACACAATTTAAAAATATATATATATATATATATATATATATATATTAAAGAAAATGGTGAAGAAGATGGAGAAGAAGAATGAAGTTAGCTCAGTTAACTTGAAACCTAAAAAAGGAAGTGTTATCCCAGCTAAGAGGAAGCTTATCAAACGCATCATTTTCGATCATTTTCTTTCATTTCTTCTTTCTCCTTCCTCCAAAAACTCTGTTTTCGATGGTGATGCCGGTTGCAGCAATATCAACAACAGTGGCGCCAGCAACAGCAACAACAACAACAACAATCATAAGGTTTTTCCGGAGAAACAGTAACATGGATACCAAGTGTGTACGATCAAGATTGTTTCATCAAGTTTTTTTTTTTTTTTTTTTTTTTTTTTTTTCAGTCCAACTAATGATCTAATATATAGTGCCCTGATGATACTCTGTTTTCTGTGATTGAATTATGTTGTTTTTGTTGGGTAACTCGAAAAATCTGCTTTTACTCTGCTTGTATTCATATACTACTCATAAACGACGGCGAAATCAGGGAATAAGCAAATTACACATTGCAAATATTGTAAAATCGATGAAATGTGCAACAAAAATCTAAAAGCATTGTGATTGTCCAAAATTAGTAGTCACGTTAATTGAATTAGCCAATTCGGATTACTAAAGTAGTAATAGTGCAACAACATTTGGTTGTCCTAGTAGTGAAAACTATGTTGCCTAGAAGTCGAATTAATAATACTGGTATCTTGGATAATTGTTGATAAATTTAGTGAATTAGGGCTTCTTTTTATAGGCTCAATACCTTTTTAAAAATTTAGTTAGTCCATCCAATACATGATTATGCTTTCATTATTTAGAA